GTTTTATATAGGAACCGTACAATTCGTGCTATGAAACCATATTATATCAGGAATTTGAACTTCATACCGTTGAACCAGTTCCAACTTCAAACAAAAATCCTTGAGACCAACGATTACAGTATATAGGCATGAGTTCTAGAACTGGTAGTAGAACTAAAACAACTTTTTCCAGGAAATTAACAAAATTAATCGCAATTTGGAGAAGTTAAAATAAAATCGATCGGAATAATTTTCAAATTAAAGTCATTACAAGCAGCCTGTCCGATCGTTATACATATTTAAATACAAACTAAGTTTAAAGCCTAATGACGCCCACGAAATCCATTAAACCTATAAACCGAATTTTTTTATGAAATGATTTTAATTAAAATACTAAAACCGAACTCATTCATAAAAAACCTTTTATAAAACAAATAAGTCGTCTACGTTTTTATCCTCCAAAAAATTAAAAAAAAATCCAAATAAAATCAACAACAAAACTATCAACATCCTCTAAAAAACGTTGTGTTGATTTGTTTGTTGTTGCCACTGCTAGTTGTTGTTTTTTAATGTTATGTTGCACAAACGCAAACAATGTGAGGTTGTTGTATACATTTCCATTAAGGCGTGTACACATTGGCGCGACTTTAGTCAAGTATTTTTAAGTTTTATTTTTCTTAAATATTTTCAGTGAAGAAAAAAGTATTCGATCTTAAACGCGGTTTTGTTTCGTTTTTTTTTTTCTTTGTACACATTCAATAAAAATTATTTCCTTTTTGTTTTAAAAAAATATTTAAACTAAAGTGACGAAGAGTCACATTCATACAATATGACTTCTTGACGGCATATTTATAATGTTTATACAAGAATGGTTTGATTGACGGACTGGCAGACTACCGTTTAGCTACCGTAGTAGGTTTTGTTTTAGTGCAGCAGCAGTCATCGTCTACTTTTAGCATGTTGCATGTAAAATAATTAAAAGTTTATGGGACAATAGTGTTGGTAAAATAAATAGCAATAAAGTAATGTTTTAAAAGTATTTAACTTTAAAATGTTGTCATGCTTTTTCTTACTGCACTAGTGTATACTACTTTAAGTGCTATTGTTCAGAGGACTATTTGTCATGGAGTTTTGAAAAATCTTGAATTTTTCTTTTTTATTTTGGCGACATAGAATTATAAACACTGATTTTCAGATTATTATATTTGATTTGTTTACATTGAAATTTAAATGTTACAATTTTTTCTATATGAATTTTTGAATTTAGAAAAGGAAGTTCTTAAATAATTTAATTGATTGCACAGACCAACAAAGTTTTAACCCAGTGAGACTTTATTTTGAATCTGAGTTTATAATATTCCTATAGCATAGCAGGTTTTCGAGATATTTTAACCTTAATTTTGGCCTCCGGTAGGTTAGTGGTTAGTGTTCTAGTCTGGTAGACCGGAGGTGGTGGGTTCGATTCCCACCTGAGGCACTGGTTAAGGAGCGCACAACAGGCCCGATAGAGGCCTAGGTGTATTTCTTCGGATTTGATGTATATACATCCTCCTTTCAAACTAACTAACTAACTAACTAGTTTTGAAAAGTGCCTTATATTCTTCGGAAGACTTATCTACTGGCTTCAAAATAAAAGTCTAAAACCTATTATATCTTGTATATATACACTTATATAAGATACTAGCATACCCTGGGTGCTTCGCTACCCTAACCAAAATTAAATACATACAAAATTTTGTTTACTTTTATAGAAAATTATAATTGATTTAAAAGTTTTGGTAATGTTTTAGTTTTTTACGTTCAATATCACGTGAATAAATTCGCATTCAAGAAGGAGCTTGTATTTTTAGTTTCATTCGTTTAGCTTTCACATTATAGAAAACTTCGAAAGTACTATTTGAAAAAGATTACTATAAAATACCTCTTATAGATTCTCATTTAATCAAAAATTTTAACCATTATAGAGAATTTAAAAGGTATCATTTGAAGAATGGAAAAGTGCCAAAGAGTACCCACTTACAGAATATTATTCAGTCAAGACCATGTATGTTAAAATTTATGTTCCTAGGTTGAATATTTTAGAAAATTCAAAAAGTACCATTTATGAGATAAAAAGTACTAAAAAGTTCTCTCTTAAAGAATCTTATTCAATGAGGACCGTGTATGTTTAATAATCGTGTGTTTTGAATTCAACATACAGAGTATTATTTGAAAAAAGAAAATGTACCAAAAGTGGAATAAATTCTACCTTAGTGGAAAGTACTAATAAAAATAGTACAATTTTTCCCCTTTTCGCTTAGAAATATACTTTTTTTGAGAATTAAGTTTACAAAATGTTACGTATTTAAAAATATATATCGCAAATAAAACTCAAACGATTTAAATCTGCATTCATTTGTTCTTTCAAAAAGTACCAAACAATTTACTCGAATTTGGTCCTATATAGATAGGCCTTAGTACTCGAATTCCAAAATAATATACCAATAGCTTATTTTGTGTGAGTAAATAAACTACTTTTTCAAATTTTATAAAAATTGGCTCAATGAGTTTGAAAAAGATTAAATTTCCCGTTTTCCCCCCTTTTTTGGTATTTTTTTCCCCAGTGAAATAGCAAAAATTTTGTTTTAATTAATATTACAAAGTTAGTCCGTAATTTAATAGGAATTCTTCAATAAATCGAAAAAGTTTTTTTAATGTGCTAAAAAAAGTACCAAAAATGCAGTTTTCTCCTTTTTGCACCCTAAAAGGACAGAATTTTAAAAAAGTACGAAACAGGTGTCTCCTAATTTTGGGAGATATATTCAAAATATTTACAAAAAATGTTATTTTCTTTATTAGTTAAAAAGTTATAAAGGGCCAAAAAAGGTACCAAAATCACTCTTGTTTCTTTTTTAATATATCCTTAACTAAAGCTGAAAAATATTTGTTCTTATTTTTCAGGTTGTTCTACGCTTGTGGCGCAGGTAAGTTATGATTCTAATATACCAAATTATAGTTAATATTGTTTTTATGATCGTTCTACAAATGGATAGCCGATCAATGCAATGCTTCATGACTTTGAAGTGAAAATAAAATTCTGTTGAAGCAAGTATAATAAAATCCTTGGAGTTTGTTTCCTCTCCTATTCATAAGGCATTTAAAAAGGTTACAAACTCCCGGGGAATTATTGTTCATAATTGACCGATATATGTATATAATTTTAATAGTATGCTTTAATAAACCCGATTGGTACAGAAATTTTTTTTTGGGGTATTTTCTTGTTTTCATATGATTAGACACAGTTCTTCGCCTCCAGAAAATAAGTAGAATCTTCAGAAGGCGACGGTTCAAGAACTCTTGCGTTTTTTACATGTTGCTAGTAAATTGTTTTTCATATATTGAATATAGATAGATATACATAGATATAATGTGGATGGTTTTCCTGTCCAAGCCTCCGTTTGAGGATTAAAGGATTAAATATCATATCTATATTTTGCGCCACCGCCTTTACATTGCTCAATCTGGCTTCTCCTTCTAATGTCATGCTGATTTGATTCTATATCCGTTCTATTGAAGTTTATGACGAATCCAACTCCAATTCTGAAACATTATTTTAATCGATCGTTGTTCTTGGCTTCCAGAAAATAAATAGAATCTTACAATGACAATGGTTCATGAATATTTGGATTTTTTTGCACGTTGCGAGTTTAATTGAATATCGACATTTTCGTGAGTAAAAATAATGTGGATGATTTCCTAATTGATCTTAGATGAATCAAATATTTGACGGCTTTTCTGTAAAAGGTTATACAAATATTCTTGTTTGAGAATATAATATATCCGTAATGTGTTATATATTTATACTCAGAACAGTTGAATTCGGAATCATTGTAACTCTACGTAGATTTGTTGCAAGGTCTGAGAAGCTGTGTGCCAGAAGACGGATACATATCATCCTCATTAACGAGATCGGTTAGTCGTTGTTGTATACTATCCCCTGTCGTTCTTAAGGGTTTCGCCACTGATCGTGTTCAGAACTATATTAAATAGCAGTGGATACAGGACCATGTCAGACCCTAATCCTAACTTCTATCGGACAGCTCAACAAGAGATATACGTTATGATATAAACTATTGATAAGATAAATGACTTATCAACATGTCAATGCACTCCAAATCACATTATGATATAGATTGTCGAAGGCTTTTTCGAAGTCTATGAAACACAGATATAGTGGAAGTAAGGAAATTTTAGCTTAATATGTGCTGAGATCTGGATAACTGGTAAGGAATTTCCCGTTCTTACCTAATATGCAGATCCTAAAAACTATGCTACTCGAGACACTCTACTGTATATTGAATGGAAATGACAATTTCCGACGGAAATGACAAATTATTTTAAATGCTTTTATAGATCTCGAAAAACTTCCGACGGTAAACACGATCTATTAGAGTTTTTATTTTAAAAGTCTGGTTTAAATTTCAAGCCATCCGAGTACTATTTATCAAGAAAATTTTTTGTAGTCAGTATAACATATTCCGATGTCAAAGCATAATGGACATGATCGATGAATTTCGTAAAGTTGAACTAATTTGAGCTTTTGAATACATTGTCAATAAACTTTCTGATCATGTTTTAAAGCTCTAACACTGCTTTAGCAAGAAGTTTAATTTAGATTTTTATACATTTTCTTATAGGCAATCAATAGCTTTGTTTCCAATTCGATCTTGAGGATCTTGAGGATAAGTAGTATGTTTAAATATGTATAGTTAAGTTTTTTAATAAACAGATATATGCTGCCATTAAATATTTGATCAGTTTTATTAAAAACATATTCCACGCACAATTTCCTTTATGAAAACTATATTAACGATCGCGTAAAAGTTTAACTTGTGATATGAAACATTAATTTTACAATCGGGTATTTTATGTGAAATTTAAAATATATATTTTTTAATATGAAATTAATTAACACATCGTAAAAACAAACTATTAACAAAAGTATAAACTTTAATAATGAATAAAATACAACAACTACTAACCTGGGTCCATCATATTTTGATCGTAATACTCAATGATGAGGCTGTTTTAGAAATCTGCACAAGGGGAGGTTAAAGATGACTACAACTATTAATTGCACTTGTCCCGACAAGATTTGGCCAATAAACCCAACTTGGTGAAATGTTAACAGCACGATGTTAAATGTACCAACAAATGGGTCAAGGTGAAGATCGATGTTTTTGGTTGATAATTGTTGTCGGTGATAATGGTTATTAAAAGATGAGTATTATTCCATTCCCTATTGATGACGTGTGGGGTGCTGCTAAGCTGCGGTCTGTCTGTTAACGTTGGATGTCGCTGGTGTTTAAATATTTTTGTAGTAAGTGTTAAACAAAACTAATCGATGCCAAATGATGATCACATAAGAATATTTCTTCTTTTTTTCTATTGATTTTTACAATTTTTTCTATTTTACTTTCAAAAAACTACATTTATTAGTTTGTAAACAATTTTTTGGGTTGTTAGACTTGGGTATTTCTTTCAACTATTTTCGTAAATTTTTTTTTAACTTTTTTTGTGTATTATTTTGGTTGGGATCAATACTAATTCACACTTTTTTTGTTTGATTTTCTTATAGCAGCCGGGGTAATTGTTGTTAAGTTGTCGAGTTTTAAATTTGTTGTTGTATTTTTTCTTAATTTTTGTATATTAGAGGAAAATTAGCACGCACTTTACACCTTTGATTTTTAAGCGGTTAATTTTCAAAAAAGACACAAAAAAAACTGAAAATAAATTTTAACACTTTGCTGCTGTGTTTTTATTATCATTAGTTGAGCATTTTTTAAACTTTAATTTTTGCTGCGACCACCCGTACTTTGGAAACAAAAGGCTATGATTTTTTTTAACTTTAATGTTTTATTAAATCTTTCTTTTTTGAATATTATAAACAAAATATCATCATAAATATTATTTTAATAATTGATAAATACAATACACTTTGCCGCCGTTATTATTGAACAACACATAGAATTTAAAATGATTTTCCAGTATTATCACTACAAATAATATTTATTTTTTTTTCAAAAATTTTTTTGTTGCTTCTCTTCGTTCCGACTTGTTGTTCTTCGTCAACCGTACTTGTTGCGACTAATTTGAGGCGTAGCGATCTCGCTCTGTTAGCATCACTGACGATGATCGATCAGTAACCCATACACAAGAACAAAAACAAATCAAGACTACCAACAACAACAAATCACACACTCAGCCAGCCATCCAACCATTCATCCAATATACAGCTCCTCAGCAATAACAACAAAAACACTTTCCATATGTTGTATATATGTACCTATTATCGTTAAAGATCACAACTATAGTTCTGTTAATATTGTTTTTGTAATTCTCATTCAATATAATATGAGAGAAGAATATACATGATCTTTTCTTTTTTTTTTTAGTTTATACATGATTTCTTATATACAAATGTATTGGTTAAATTGACTTTTCTGTTTGGCTATCCGTTTAGTTTCTATTAGTATGTGTAGCCCTTAATGGCGCTTTTTTAGTTTAGTTGAAAGTATCTGAGAGTGTGTTGAGCATCAGCAACAAATACAATGAAGATCATCTCTTAACACTTTTGCATTGGAAAGGGTAACAAATCAAAAGGAGGTGGCTTAAAGTGGGAGTTAGTTTTTGTTAATTATATCCCCCGATTCATAAAAATATTTGTCCTGGATCATTGCAAAGCAGGCGGCTACTTTCCTTTACCCAATAAATACAAATACCGCTGATTATATATAGTTTATAGATTGACCTCCAGCGGTATATTAGCTGTTTAAAACTCCAAGTACCTTGATGTTATTTCAATCAGAATGTATAGAAGTACTACCAGTACCTCTAGTCTACCAAACTCGTTTGACTTGCAGTCTGCCCAGAGATCCTAACCTATCTGGTACCCAGGGAATGAAGTAGGTAGTGACTGTGGTACTAAATGCTGGCAATGAGTAGATATCTGAAGAATAGGATAAATAAGGTGTGCCGTTTTAAGCACGAATACCCTCTTAAGAGCATATGTTACATGAGTATTCTCTTGATCGTGTCGGATGAAAGGGTGGTGAGGTAGTTGGTTTAAATGACAATGGGTGAATGTTATCCTGGCCATGTGTTATTGAAAAATTCCCTTCTTTGGTATGTTAAGAGTTTACCGCCGTATGTCCCCTCTTTTACGAACGAAGTCTTGGTTTTTTGATGGAGTTCGTGCTTCGGTTGCCTTATCAGAATCCATTCTATCTTTTGCGGTTGCGGATTGTTGTAGAGACATGTTTTAGTTTTGATCTGAAGATTGTAGGACAAGAAGAAAAGGGCTCCTATGATCAGAGATTAAATAACTCAAGTGCTTGTACATGGATAAAAATTGACATGATCGTGTTCTTTGAAGTAACAAGGTACAGTGTTGGGTCATGTCTAGCCCCAGGAACTCAAGCAAAGCACTCGAACTTCTGTAGTTTCCGAAAACACCACTGAAGATGTGCTTCGGTTGCCGAATCAGAAACCATTCTATCTGTGTGGTTGTTGATAAGAAGCAAAGGCCTCCCGTAATCACAGATTAGGTTACTCAAGTGCTTGTACATGGATAATAATTGACAAGTTCGTATTCTTTAAAGTAACAAGGTACAGTGTTGGGCTGTGTCTAGCTCCAGGAACTCAAACAAAGCACTCGGACTTCTCGGACACCACTTAAGATGTTGTTTTTATCATATATTTGCTCAAAATCTCAATTCATTCTTACATCCCGACATTGTACCCACGTTGGATTTATGATGGAGATCATAAATCTAACCAATGTCATCTTTTTCTACCACTAGATCATCCAGATTCAAAGTTGTTTATTAATAAAAAAATCACAAAATGCATCCAGAACCAAACGTTTGTTTAAAGGTGATAGAATCGGATGTGGGTATCGAGGTACAAAGACTCGTATCTCATGGGATCCCACAATGTGCTACTTTATATTTTCTACTACGAATAACTACCATACAAAGTCCATTAAGGAGTTTATGCAAAAGATTTCATGTTAATGATCAAAGGAAAGGATCCTAAAATGAGAAAGAGAAACATAAATTCCCATATCTTTTGTTATCAAAAACCTTATTTTATTACCTTCACCTACGCCCATGTTGATCAAAATCATATTTACACACATTATTGAGAAAACAAGCCATTGCAAATTGTTAAATGGATTTTTAGATCTCATTCTCTTTACAATATTAATACTAGGTATACGAGAGAGAAAGAAACCAGTGTTGCCGATTAAGATTTTCAACTAAATCACAGTGACCAATAAACAACATAAAATTTTATTTCATATGTCGATGGTTTTGAACGGTTTCTTTCATTTTATAATACTAAATTTTAAATATGTATTGTTATGGGTAGGAGCCCCACTGTATTTGGCTTCAGGGAAGTATATATGTAATCTAAGGGACATATAGATATACATATGTACATATATTTTTGGCGAGTTATCATGGCGAACTTGCCTCACCACCATGTTATTACAATCCCATAGTATAGAGGTATCATGGTATCGACAACGGTTGGGGGTTGGTGTTTTAGACTCACTGTTATCTGGTAAAACAAGAATTAGTTTCCCACAGCACAGTGTTCTGTTATGGTTATTGGGAATGTTCTTCCGAGAATCAAGTATTGGCCGAGGTTGAATCATAAATCGCGGGAATATTATGTCGATAATGCGGCCTCGGTGGAGGAGTGCTTTGGCAATTGTGTTGTTTCTGGTACTTTATACTTGTTATATACTTGGTAGCTGGCCCTCAAACTTGGATCTAGATATACATATATTTTGATGTTCATAAGACATGTGGATCTAACTGGTACTGTAGAATTTTCTCCCTCGAGGCGTGTTATCTTGAAAACATTCCCGCTTCCCCATCTTTATATCGCAATTCCGATGTATAGATGGGACCACGGGATCAAAACCTGGAGGAATTTTTAACACACTGCTGATTAAAGTTTGTTATCTGGTTCAACGAGACCCAGTAGTCCTCAGTGTCCAGATCTAGATATTGGTAAGTATCTGTGTAATGTGTTGGTTGGTAGTTGAAATCGAAATAATTTTTTAGTTGAGGTTGAAACCCAAATCGCGGAAAGAGAATGTTTGTTTAAGACCTAATATAGTAAAAGGTGTGACTGAACGGCTTCGATCGAGGGATGTGTTGTTTATGGCATGTTAAATTTGATGGTAGGCCTTCAATAGGAATTAAACAGTCTGCGGTTTGATAGGGCGAATCATGAACTTACGAATGTTTTTCACACGCTGGCAACACTGATACTCACACACAAACATCTTTATAAATCTAAAGAAAAACTGCGCAAACAACAGAAACAACAACAAACATTTCTAAACGAAAGAGTTGATGTGAGGGAATGAATGAGTGAAAAACAACAACAAAAAGAAAGCAATCGGGCGGAGTTAATACTGAAATGCATGAATGGCCAATCTAAAGCCAGTAAGCGTAACCGGAACACACTGAGTTGAATGAATGAGAGTATTGTGTCTGCATGTAGATTCGTATATACACACATACTATATATGTATGCAGCAGAAGAAGAAGGTATTACAAGAATGCAAGATGTCATGAATAGAGTGAAGGGGATATATTTGAATATCTGTTTTGTTTCCGTTTTTAGACTTTTCAACACATTATTGTTTTTAGTATGTATGTCTGTCACCTCAGTTGCATTGTGCTTAGGTGTTTAGTTGTGTATGTATTAATACACCTTCATAAGTACTTGAGCATATGTATGTGTTTATATATATTTATTTAGCCGAAATTGTAGGCGGAGCAGAAATGATTGTGTCGATAAATGTTGACATTTGATTTTCAAATGGACGGAACATTTTATCTGCATTTACTGCACAAACATACATACATACATATCTACTTATTTTAATAATTATAATTACCTTGGTATGGTCCATAGCATGCTGCCTTATTTTCCTGCTTATGAAAAACATCATTATTATCCTTGTCGTTTTAACGTACGACAAGAAGTATAATGATGATTGCACTTTGTTAATTATGCAAAATTATATGAAGCGGTTCGAAGCGTTTCAAATTGCTGATTGTTGTTGTTGCTGCTGTTCATTCCTAAATCTGCTGCTGTTGTGACTGACATTTTTTTGTTGCTATTGCTGCTAGTCTTCTTGCTGCATTTCCAATACCACCGAAGCATTCGTGGATGCTTGGTTTCATTTAATTATGAAAATGGATAATTTTCCTCGAAATAGTAAAATCGAGTGGAGTATGTATTTTTAGTAGTTAAGGAATTTGCTGGAAATAATGTGCATTTGTAGCTATAAGAAGTGGCCAGTAGTCTATATAAAGTTTTTGCGAAGTTGTTGACCTCTAATCCGTTTGTAATTAAATTGCAGTTTGTCAATTTGATGATCATTTTATGAAATTTGTAGCATGTCTGTTATATTGTCTATTACCTCGGACCCTCTCGACGTTTCTTTAGAAAATTTATCCATAATTTACTCCAATATCCCAATGTATAATGTAGTCAAAATATCGTATATTTCGCATAGTTTGATCTATAATTATCACCATCCATCCATTATCACCATTCTCTAAACATCATCAATAATTATCAGAAATCTTACGATGGTGAAAATGTTGCTGCTTTTCTTAGAAATTTCATCATCAAAAACCGGTTAGATATTTTATTTTATATTGCCCAGATTCTGACACCCGGGGGAACATAATCTTGATGAAGGACTCCATCTTTGTGTTATTGCAATCCAGTTTATAGTCTAGTCTGCCGTGACTATAAACTGCTGATGGTCACATGTATCCTCGGCCATTCCTTGAAATGATTTGACATGTGGTCGAACCAGAGAACCACATAATCTGGTACCACGGGAGTCGGCTGCCCGCAGGGCTCAGTTTTGGACTTTGTATTGTCCCGGTTATTCGAGGTGCACGTGGTGGCTGTGGTTATACCCTACACCACTTTAGTGGGGAGGGTATATTGGATTTGTGCTGATGTTTGTAACATACAAAAATATTCGTCCTAGACCCACCTTAAAGTATACCAATCGACTTAGAATCGTTTTCTGAGTCGATTAAGCTATGTCCGTCCGTCCGTCCGTCCGTCCGTCTGGCTGGCTGTCCATGTAAACTTTGTGCGCAAGGTACAGGTCGCAATTTTCA